AAATCCAATGTAATTACTCAACAAGCTTGGATGAAGAAATGTTGAGGACTTGCCAAATAATAGTACATTAGACAATCACTGTTGAATAATGGCATTGATTTAGAATTAAACAGACCTTCAAAACAGGTGAACATACTTCTTATATTTATAAACTAGAAACCAACAGCTGGAAGGGTCCTCATCTTTAATTTTTAGTCAAAGCTAATTACTGTGAACCTACTTGGTACCGTACAAAAGTTCACAGGTTTCCATTTTCATATTTATGCAGGCCAAATTTTATAGTGGCACACTCCATATACAGGAGTAGAATTGTAGTTTACTGAATATACTTGTTAGAGATAACAAGTCTAGTCAGTAGAAGTTAAATAATAAAAGTATTTGAAAATAAGTGCCCTGCAATAGAAATCTGTCAAACCTTAATCCCACAATATTCATCTCATTCAGTAATGAGAAATATGAAATAGCCATTGGTGGAAGAAATGTTTATGTACTCATTTTTTTTTCCTTTTTAAAAATAGCTTTGATGATATACTCTTGTAGATGTTATGCTAATTAAGAATAGCAACTTCAGATGAATTCTTACCCGAATTATTACTTTTTGAGAAATCAGGGGGGCTGTAATGTATTATGTGATCACTTTTTTTCTCCCATATTTGACCAGATTTTACTGGTGACTTTTCTATTGTGTAGTCCTAAAATGTAATGAGACACTGTCCATCATAATTGTCTTGTTCTAACTTACTAGATGTCCCTGGATGACAATGTCTGTGTGTTCTCTGTCTTCCATTTTTATATGTTTATTAGTAAGAAGTTAATTAGTATTTAATAAATGTGAATGAATAAACTGACTCTTGTGGAAATATGTGTTTAAATCACACTTGTACATTTTAACAGAATGAGAGTGGGGAGTAGGGACTACAGCAAATCAACAGAATCAAGAGTCAAAACTAATTTAATAGGCTAAAATAGTCAAAACTATTTAACAGCAATCAGCAAGATGAAAGGCAACAGTTTGAAAAGTAGAGTCTTGTGTTTGCCTTAAGATTGCATTTTCTAAGGAGGGAATATAGAAAACCTAGGTGGTATGGCTTGACAGCAATTAACATAGAAACAAATTGAAGGAGAGGGAATGAAGCAATTCTTTACTACAACTTTAGTATATGTTAAAAACTCACTGTTGCTTAAAACATGGTCAAATAATGAGTGCTAAGAAGAAATCATTCCACTATATTCTGCATGAGTCAGATCTCATTTAGATTGTTGTATTTTCAAAGACTAAAAGTAAAGAGAAAAATGAAAAATACTTAAATTAAGATGGTTTTACAGGTGAAAAGCAGGAGGATGATGGCTCAGGAAGCTACATTCTGAGAAAGCCTGGATTTGTGTAGTATGACAAGATGAAAAATTTAACCAGACATGACAGATAATCAGTTACTTTAATGATATACTGTAGAGAAAGGTGTTAACTTTTCCTCTTTGGAGATAGTGCATTACAGCACATTCAGTAGGGCTAGATTGTTCTAGTTTCAAACCTCAAATATATAATCTTACCTTTTTTATGATTATGAATAAGTTACTTAAACTAACTGATGCCAACTTCCTCATTTATATATAATAATAAATGACATAAAAAGATATTTATGTTGGACAATTAAATTAGATAATGACTTTATGTAGTATATCTGATATATGATAGGCATTCAATAAATAGCACAATAATTCATATTTCATTTGTAAAGATGGCAGAATTAATAGCAGTAGGTGTATATGGAGGCACATTCCACTTTAATATGAAAAATACCCTTCAAAATTCTATAGCTGAGTTGCTGAATTTGTGGACTGCCATTTGTTTGTTTAAGATTATCACTAGGAGAAGATTCCAAGGAAGAAATTCCTGTATCAATAGAAGGATAGACCAGAGAAAACCTTCAGTGTTCAATCATCTCCAACTTTATGACTATCAAATTTCATGTGTATAAAGTTACAGGGGATTACTCTGAGTCAAAATATAAATATAAATGCATTACTTAGTAATTTGAACTTGTTATCTTTCATACACAAACCTAAGGGAAGAAATTGTGTAAAGTATGAATTTAAGGTAAAAAGCTACAAGTATGAAATTTGTAGATAATAAAAAGTGGAGAATTTGCTGTTGATAGACCAAAGCCTTCCAGATTCTTTGATATTGCTATTGTACAGAACAAGGGTTTGAGACAGATGAGAGATCGCCTCCAGGGAGGGAATTTTTAGAATAATGGGAGGGATAAAATTATTTATACAACTAATATTTATTGAATGTTTAGTATGTGACTGCCTTCAAACAGTTTGCACTAGAGGGGATAATGAGCATATAAGCTGATCATTGTAATATGAGATTTGAGTACAAGGGATAGGGTAATCACACAAGGATATTCAAGGAGAATATTCTGAAAGATGAAAAGTGAGCTCAGTGTTGAGGGATATCAAACAGAGGGCTGGAAAGGACCCGGAAAGGTCCAGAAGACATAGATATATTGCAGTTTCATCTGCAGTTTATATTCATTTGTAAGCATTGATTTTCCCAAAATGCTTCATTTGTCAGTATTTTACAAAGTTATTTTTTGCTCTGAGAAAAGAAATCATGAAATTCTGAATATAAGAAAACTGTTATTTTTTTTTGTAATTGACCCTTGAGGTGGGAAGATCTTGGGGAAATGCTCTTGGAAATATGATCTTGGAAGTCTCAGTCCTGTTTTGTACAACACATAAAATTTTCACTTTTGTGAAAATTGATGGTACTTTGTTAATTGTATTAATATAACATAAAGAGAATACAATTACATAGTCTAATTTAAAAATTTTGATATGTTGCTTCATAGTTGTTCAGAAACTATGAAAGAGTTGATTCAGTTTAGAATATACTTCTCGGCACAGTTTCACTGATTTATACTGAATGAGTATTATTAAATATTCAGATGGAAAAGAATATGAAATATCATGGGGCAAGGGTAGCAAGATTTTTTTTGTTATTTTTATATAAATATATTTATTTATATATATTTATTCCCAGAGAATCTAAATCAAATCTCAGATATTAGTGGCCTTGTATATAGAAACAGGGAAAATGAAAACCATTAATGTGGTAAGGAATTAAGATTATGTGTATTATGTCTACTTTTTCAATCTTTTGAAACAATTTATTACTTATTTTAAAAGTTATTTTTATCTTAAAAGATAAGCTCAGGTTAGAAAATTAATAAAATAAAGACAAGAAATAAGAAACTGTTACCAAACTTCCTAGAGTTAATAACACTGCAGTAGATCTTGGTTGAATTTTCTTTGCACTATTTTTGTACGGAATGTGATAACTTTTATTGAAGACAGTCTAGAGCAGTGCTAAGACTTCTGTAAATATTAGCTAGAGTTGGTTTTATCTGGGCTTTAATAACCCCTTTATTCTAACCTCAAGAAATCTCCTCCCTCTAGTTTCTTCCTTGGTGACACCTATAATTTGTAGGGGTTATCTCAATTTTCTGCCTCCATGTGATCATTGTTCACATTTTTTTTTTTTTTTCATTTCTTGGTCCTTTTCATCCTCATCTGCATAGTTGGAGTTTTGGGCCCTATTTTGATCTGATTAACTGCCTCCAATGTGACTGCAGTGTTACTTCCTTCATTTTCTTATTGATATCCTTTTGACAGATATGTTTTCTTCTTTATCTGTCCTCTTCTATGGATTTTTGCTTTTAAACACATACAGGCTCTGTATCTTAACTTGGTCCTTTAATTTTCTGAACCAATAGAATATACACAAAATCTATAATTCTCTACAAGTGCTATGATCAGGGCTTCAAGGTTCTTTTTGACTTTGCCTCTCCCTACAGCATGTTACTTGTGGGGCACTATCATACAGAATGTAGTATGTGATTTCATACAACAAGGGTCAAAATACAGTTTGTGTACTTTGACTTTTCTGACTGGTGTTTATTGGTCCTGGGTCACAGTTCCTTCAGGTTTACACTCAGTGTATAGTTGTCTTAAACTCTGGCAATATGCTGATCGTTAATTATAATCTTCAATGATGGTGTTTATTTTTCATTTTCCTATTTCTTTAGTTAACTTTTTTGTTCTTTCCTCACCTGATATATTTAATTTTGTTTTTGCAAATGATGTTTACTTTATTCTTATTGCATATGTTATAGACTTTTCATGCTATTGAGGACCGGTATGGTATGTAATTTTCTTAATGGTTCCTATTATAAATCATTTGATGGATCAGGTATGTTTTTTCTATGTATTTCAGAATGATTTCTTTCCTTTGTTCTGGAATATTGTGTATAAATCCTATTTTGAATTATTATTATGGTTTATTCCTATTTACTGCTTTCTGAATGAGAAGAGAAATGTTGAGACTTTACATATGCCAACAGATAGGAGTATATGGGTTTTCCCTCACTTGGCTAACTTTCCACTTAGGATCTGGCTGAAACTCAAATCTTGAGATGGAGAGCAAGGAACGTGGGCAGCTCTCTGCTCTGCTTCTGGCTATTAAGCAATCATACAGTCACTTAGCCTGATTGTATTCAGTTGGGATCTTCCCTGTTTGCTGATACATGAAAAATTAAAATCTTCAATGTGCACAATTGCCAGGTGTCTTTGTGTCTCAGCCCACACTTACAACATACCTTCCTTGTGACCAGCTCCTGTCCTATGTATGTCTGTTACTAACTTTATAGGAATTTTAATAGAAAAATAGGTGATGTTACTTTGAAGGTATCCACATCCACCATTTTTAAAAATTGCCTTTATTTTTTTCCCATAAACTAAAATAAGCTGAGGTTAAAAAACATCTAGAGCATAATGTTAAACATAAATCTAGGATGGAAAGTTCATGTAAATATAATACATTATAGCCCTAGTATGGTACTCCCTAATGATTTAATTTAACATAATGAAAAATTAGAATTCATTGTTGAAATATTTAGTAAACTCATGAAAAATATAATGCACATGCTGCATACCATTTTCTTTGTGCACAAAGGCTCCTTGAGGAGATTCAGGGATACCTTTCCAGACCGTGATTGGTTTGGGATAGCCAGGATCCATGGTCTTCATTTCTTCACTGTATCTCCAATACCTAAAAAGGATAATAAACAAAACAAAACAAAAAACACGTGCGTAGGGAAGGAAATTATGTATACACAGTAATAGCTAACATTCATTAAATCCTTGCTCTATGCTATCTGTTAATGATTTACAGGACTGATTAAAAATGCTAGAAAGACATTGGACACAAACAGCATTCATTCTGTTTCCTTTCTTGCACATGTTAAAAGTGGGTATTGTTATTGTATATTTATTCAGTCTGCTAAAATTAATTTAAAAATTCTAGCTAAATACATTGTGTTTGCTAAATATATTTACGATTCAAAAAGGTATCACCAACCTATGGATAAATAAGAGGTTTCATGACTTTTTATAAATCTTTCTTTTTTTTAAATTTTTTGAAGACTTTATTTATTTATTGGAGAGAAAGAGCAAAAGCAGGGGGGAGTGGCAGGCAGAGGGAGAAGCAGGCTCCCTTGCTGAGCAAGGAGCCCGATGCGGGGCTCGATCCCAGGACCCTGAGACCATGACCTGAGCCGAAGGCAGACACCCAACCAACTGAGCCACCCAGGCGCTCTTTTATAAATCTTTCTTAGGCAGCAGAGCACTTTTGTTTTTTTGGAATCATCTTTAGCAGAATCTTGATTCATTTATTCATTCACTTATTCATTTAAGAAATATTTACTGAGTACCTTTTATGTTCCTAGCATATTTTAGGTATCAGAGATATAACTTTGAACAAAACAGATATTCTCCAGCTCTCATCAGTCTTGTATTTTAGGATATGTATGGATTATAGATAATAAAACAATTTATTAGTAAATACATACTGTGATAGGAGGTGGTGAGATTAAGAAAACAAGCAGTTAAAGTTAGCTAGGAATATGGAGAAGCAATTTTAATTAGTGGACAGAGAGGTCCTTTCTTTATCAGACATTTGAGCAGAAAGAAGTGAGGTACAACATTTATAGTTTTTGGGAGAAATACTTTCCAGGTAGAGGAACTAGTTAATGAAAGTTACTGTGGCAAGCACAAACTTGGAGTACTTAAGCATCCACAAAGAGGTTGGGGTGACTAGTTTATTCTCATAAACTAAAATAAGCTGAGGTTAACATATGGAAGAAAAGGTCAGAGTGGGAACCAGAGTCTAAGATTAGATAGACCTTTATACAATAGCAAAGCCTCTGGTTTTCCACTAAGGGATATGTGAAGCCAACACAGATTTTGAGCAGGGGAGCTTCAAGATATGGCTTATATTTGAAAGGAACATGGTGGCTGCTATGAGTTAAATAGACTTAAGGAGGTAAAAATAGAAGCAGGGATACCAATTAGGATGTCACTGCAATAACCTTGGACTAGAATGTAAGCTGTAGAGTTAATGATAATTCAAGAGATTGAGATTGGGATATATTTTGAAGGAAAATCCTAAAGAGCTTACTAACGGATTGAATGCAGGATGCGAGAGAAGGAAGTTGAGCATAACTCAAGAATTTGGGGCCTGAACATGTGGAAGAATAATGTTGCCATTCAGTTAGATAAAGAAATGGGGGAAGGTAAGTTGGGTTGGTTTGAAGAATCATGAGTTTGATTTTAGATATGTGAATTTCAGGTACCTGCAAGACATCAAAGTGAAGAATTGTTGATGAGGCAATTGGGTATATTGTAGACTTTAGGGCAGGTCTTGACTGGAGTCCTTAGTGTATAGATAGGAGAACAAATAAAAGGAAAACCTGCCAAGAGTCAGAACTCTCAGAACCCCATGCCTTCACAGGGTGGCCCATGAGCCACTCTCACAGAACTGCTAGACATCCAATGAATAAACTGTAATCAGACCTACTTTGGATCACTCATTATTATTTAAAATGTTCTAAGAATTAAATGAGTTTATGTCTTGAATGTTCAAAAGGAATGACAAAACTGGGGTGAAACCATAGTTTCCTGTATATTGCATACTTTAAGGCAGGCATATGATCTATGCATTATCTATCTCATTTAATCACAACAAACATATGAGATAGTCATCATTGTCCCCTTTTAAGAGAGGAGAATTCTAAGAGGACAATGAGGGTTAGATTTATAACCAGTTCTATCTGATTTTAACAGTCCCTATTCTTGGGGCACCTGGGTGGCTCAGTTGGTTGTGTCTGCCTTCGGCTCAGGTCCTGAGATTGAGCCCCACATCGGGCTCCCTGCTCAGTGGGGAGCCTACTTCTCCTTCTCCCTCTGCTGCTCCCCCTGCTTGTGCTCTCTCTCTGTCAAATAAATAAATAAAATCTTTTTTTTTTTTAAAGTCCCTACTCTTTCCTCTGTGCACACCAAATATGTTTTCCAAATTTAAATTTATGTAACAACCTTTTGTCTTTTTTCCCACTAAACATCTCTTAACATCTGCTAAAGCTAGTGTTTTACCAACACAGGTTTGGGAAGTGACATACTTAATGCATTATCTTGGGATTAGGCACTTTGGCTGAAATCAGAAAAAAATAGTTTTTATGGTCTTTTCTGGATTTTTTTTTTTTAATTTTTTATTTATTTATTTGAGACAGAGAGAATGAGAGACAGCATGAGAGGGAGGAGGGTCAGAGGGAGAAGCAGATTCCCTGCCGAGCAGGGAGCCCGATGCGGGACTCGATCCCGGGACTCCAGGATCATGACCTGAGCCGAAGGCAGTCGCTTAACCAACTGAGCCACCCAGGCGCCCCTGGATTTTTTTTTATTCTAGGCCTACGGAAGATTCTTTATCCACGAATTGTGGGGTTTTGTACATTAGGTTTTGCTATAATTCCCTAGAAATATCCACTCAAGTAACATTGGAATATTAGCAGCTCTTCCATTTTCAGTGTTTAAATGGAAAAGAGAAAAATATTGTTTCAGAAAGTATTCCAATAAGTAACCACAAGGCAGATTTTATCCAAAAAGATAAATACCCTCTTCTAGGTATTTGTTGCAGATTCTTATCACAAGAAGATGAGAACAGATCCAATGGAAAGGTCAGGAAAAGCTTCATGGAGAAGACTGAGCTAATATAAAGGTAACTGGGGCTGTCTTTCTGAAGACAAGTAGGCAGAATCATTAGCGTGTTGTTCTACCAGTTTTGAAGTATATTTCTTTCACATTTAGTTCATGGGATCATCTGCTTTAAAAATATTTGTGAATAATCTTTTTCACAGAACATTCTGTGATGAATATAGAATGGTTAATGTGGTTGAGATCACACTCAAAATTTCAAGATATCTTCTCTCAAGTAAATATTTCAGTGGGGTTCACAGTATACAGCAACTAGTTCCTGCACTTGACCACAAAGAAAACCTCTCAGAGAGAACTAGTCAAATGCCTTATTTTTGGATTCTAAGAAACATTTTTTTCCATATTTTACATCACTAAAATCAGAATGCACTTTACAACAGATACTGTATCAAAGTTTACTTGGTAGGGTTTTTCCCTCCATGATAGACTAAATAATGACATATTTTACAATAAATACCATTTTTAGATATAAGCTATAACTTAAAGTAAGCTTTTACATATTGTTAAGCCAGAAGTTTGGAACAATTAAAAATCCTGGGGACAATGGGATCACACCCTGTATGTGATTTAAAAAGATTAACTACATACTTAGAAACCAGTGTTGTTCTCTGAGGAATAGTTGTAACAACGTTCTTGTAACAATACCAATAATTTATGTAGGTTTTTGTAGCTATAAAGTAAATTTATACACATACATTGTTTTATTTTTCATTTAAATCCCTCAACAATCTTTTATATTGCATATTACAGTGTTTTCTATGATGACGTCCTAAACATAGATTTAGTATGTATGGTCACTCAACTCAGTCAATGCTAGAGCATTAAAAGATAATGACTTAATCACATTTGCTCTTTTGAAATGTTGCAGAGTTGAGACCCTAATGCTGTTGGATTCATAGTTTAGCATATTACTGTTATTGTTTCCCTTGGCGGGGCATTCTTACTCTTAGTGCTGTCTCTCAAACTCTTAAGATATATTGCTTGAGTCTAATTTCCTTCTTTTCTCCTTCTGTTCATTCATAGATCCATTGACCCATCAATACTTTTGTGAGCCAGGCACATAAGATTCATAGAAATCACATTTCAAGAAAATATAAATGGAATGTGAATTTTATTACACTCTCTTGTAGGAACATAATTCTGGTATGAATTTATCAGAATTTTTCTCTTTCATCACTAACAGATAATGCAAAACTATAATTTGGGATCATTTCACAATCTCTGGAATACTCAACACAGCCTTGGACCCTCAGGTTATCTGCTGTGTGGCAGCTTTGATATATACCCAGTAAACATGAATGTGATTAGAATCATCTAACTATATTCAGAGCTGCGTTATAAGAGGTGCTGAGGCTTATTCATAAATACAGGTTTGCATTTTAATTTCCAACATATTTGAACATATTTTGGTATAAACAAAAAACTCATCCCACTGATTTTTTTTCTTCCTGAAAAATGAGCTTAGGGGTTCAGTGAGAAGCATATTAACATATTCAGATGAAACCTGTGTAAATGAACCATTTGGGGGGTTACAACTTGGATATTATAATGGAAAAAAATTGGAATTTTGGCAGGAGAGTCAGCAAATGATAAAAGCTATTTTAAGTTCTTTTTCTTCTCATATCGTTATCTCTTCCGTTATATCTTCCGTTATCTCTACTGTAGAATTGACTTTAAATTGCTGATTCTTTGAGAAAAGCCCTGTGAATCAGTGCTTCAAAATGAATTATAATTAGAAATGAGATTTATTCATCATTTTTTTGACTCGATCATGGGTTATATCCACAAGAGACAAAAACTGTCCATGTAATGGTATAACGTTTTGTTAAATCCTTTCTCTGCTAACAAAAAAAAAGTTATAGAAAATTTCAGAATGCTGTACTTTAATGGGATGTTGCTGGATACTGAATTCATCCTGAACAAACAGTGGCTGCAAGGGTTATTTCGCATGACACAGCCATTTCTTCATCCCACTTTGTCTCATTTCTGTACTCCAGAGCCAAGACCACTTGCTTCTCTTACGTTACACGAAATATAGGACCATTTCTTTTTTTCATACCCAAGTAGTTATACAAAAATCCCACTTTTCAGAAACATTCTTAAACATGCAACAGCATTGGGAATATTGATTTACACTGTGTTGGATGATTTTAAAAACATATTGAGTAATTACTTCATAAACACACAAGTTAAGCTGGGAGAAATAAGTATGTTTTTCTGTTTGACTGTTAGTGGTAATAATAATAAAACCCAAAGTGGATCTAAATTTTGTCTTTCGTTGAAAATATCTTAAAATTCAAGCTTAGAATGAAATATGGCAATAGAGTCCTGTATATATTTGTGAGAAGATGCTGAGAGATGATTTAGAAACATAGCATTTTAGAGTTAAATGCTAGGAGGATCCAAAATGTATCCAAGTATCAAATTATAGTGTATTAAGAAAAGGGCAAGTAGGAATCTGAGGAACTGAGTTCCAGGCTATATGTAAAATAGTGAAATAGTGGAAATTTTAATCTGACTTTATAGATCTATTTATAAAGAGCCATCATTTCAACTATTCTTCTTTAGCTAGCTCTTAAATATTTAGGATATTTGATGTAGGCCCCTGCTTTTAATACAACTTATATCAATCATAGCCAATGTATACCTCAGACTGATCTTTCCACTGAGAAGCAAACTCAATTATCCAAATATCTACTTGATTCCTCCAGTTGGTGTGTAAAACCGGCATCTCAATCTAAAGATGAACATTTCAACCCTTTAATCCCTTTTCCCCAATACTCCTTCCCCTGTCTGCCCTATTTCCAGAAATGGCACCATCTACTCAATTTTTCAGGTGAAAAACCTAGAAGTTACCTTTAATTTTCTTTTTTCTCACCCCTAAGATCCAAGCCATAACAAAGACTTGTTCTGATTACATTCAAAATATATCCTGTACCCACCCTTTTTGCTCTATCTCCACTACCACCATCATATCCCCCTGTACTACTCCAACAACCTGCCAGTTACCCTCTTGGCTTCCACTCCTGAAGCCCATTCTTCACACAGAAACCACAGTGATGTTTGTGAATACATAAGATCATTTCCCTTTCCTGTTGAAAATCCTCCAATGCCTTTCCATTGTACTTAAAATCCAACATCTTTGTTATGGTCTATAGGGCCCCAAATAATCTGGTCCCTGTTTACCTATTTGACTTCCTTTACCACTTAACTAGCTATTCTCTAGCCACAATGTTTTGTTTTTTTTTTTTTAATTTTTAAAAAAATTTTTTAAAGATTTTTATTTATTTATTTGAGAGAGAGAGTGAGAGAGAGAAAGAGCACAAGAGGGGGGAGCGGGAGAGGGAGAAGCAGACTCCCCGCCGAGCAGGGAGCCCGATGCGGGACTCGATCCTGGGACTCCAGGATCATGACCTGAGCCGAAGGCAGTCGCTTAACCAACTGAGCCCTCTCTAGCCACAATGTTTTAACTGATTTAAACATTGCAGTATTATTGCTTTTGCACTACTGTCATCTGCCTACAATATATTGTTCCAAACAGCTTCATGTGGCTGAAACTTCACCCATTCAAATCCCCACTCTAGTGTCCCCTTCATAAGTGAAGCCTTCTCTGACTTCCACACTAATTTTCTAACTGTTCCTTACTACCCATGAGTCTCTATCACATTATCACTTTACTTTATTTCTTTGTAGCATTTCTCAACGTTAAGGTTTCAGGCTCATTTACTTGTTTACTGTTTACTATTGTCTCCTTTAATAGAAGTTAAGTGCCATGGGAGCAGAAGCCTTGTGGTCCTTTCTAGCACAGGTCACATCATATGTGCTCAAAATATTTTTTTGAATAAATGAATGAGGGCTATGCCAGGACTACTATAGAAATCTTAAGGAAGTAGGAATTAGAGCTACTGAGAATGGAAAAGGCTGTCTCACAGTCATACTGTCACCATGGGCAGTTGGGTTAGAGTAGGATGAATTCCTGTGGAGTGTAATTGAGTGTGTCTACACATTGGGTGGGACGTGAACAAGATGCAGGGCTGACATATGGTAGCACTTGGACCAAATCTAATTTAAAGCTGTGCTTTGTTTGTCTAGAAAATTAAATAAATGATTCTGGTTTTGAATGCTTTTCTAGTGTATTTGTACTTTCCAGCTCACTACAGTACCCATCACTCCCTACTATTGCCTTCCATATTATTGCTGTATCGAGTAGTTTATTTCTTATTTGTCCAGCCCTTTAAAGCAATTGAGTTTTTTACACCTGGACGAGATTATCTCTAAAACCCTTTCTAATCTCAGCCTTGGAGAAATAGAAACCTATTAATCAACACCCCCCCCCCCCCGAACCCGCCCCACCATAAGCAGAAAGAATGCAGTGGGAGAAGGAGAAGTAAGGACAAAACAATTTTCAGTGTTTTCTCTCAAAAATATACATAGAAAATAAATAAAACATTAAAAATTGGTAAGTATTAAAAATATAGAGTATCTATAAGGAAGAAAGATACACTGAATTTGTATATAAAAGTGACAGCCAAATTGTTGTTTATATGTTTCAGTTAGGTAGTTTAATGTCTTGTCCATATACTTTTAATCTAGAATGAATATATTGATAAATTGTGATTTTGGAATTATAGAATTATGTGAATATGAAGTAAACTGCTTACAAAACATCTATGACTTATGAAATCTTACATAAGATCACACACATGGAAATTAATTGGATTCCTGCTTTTAAATATTTTTAAACCTACAAAACCAATTATTTAGGCAGAGCTCAAAGTATTTCTTCTATATATTTTGTTATATTTGCATGTAGCTTCTCAAGTAGGAAACAAATGAAATAAAACTCCTTTTCCCATTTACTATTGCCTTTATTTTAGTATGAATTTGGTATCTAACCTTCATTGATTTCACTGATTTGAGGCAGTGCACATTTAGTTTCTAAACTTAATTTTTTCAATAAGTCCTAAATTTTTATATTGGAAACATTTTAAAAGTAATACCTACATGTGTGAAAAAAATAGGCTATCTGATAATAGAGTGGCAGTTTTTATTACCATCTGTGAAATCCTGTGAAAACTGTTCCATGAAAGCTAAGCTTCATGTTCTGTCCTGCAGAAGTGTGTTTTGTCAGCCTTTTGTTTCTACACCTTTCTCCAAAAACAAACAAAAAAACCCCAAACAATAAAAAACTGTTTATTGAACCTGGTCCTGAAAGAGTACATTCAAGCAATTAAATCAGCTGGGGACTTAAACTCTAACAGCCTTCAGGGTTGTTATTTTAAAGAATATGTTCTAAATCTGCAGATTTATTTTCATTAGTGGTCACCATGCTGTAGCCAGCAATTTCTTCATTCTTCTTTCATACTCTATTACACTTATATCTTGCTGAGAATCATATACTTTCTTGTGGCTATAAATAGCATCTTCTCCTTTAATAAAATTTTTGTTTGATAGACTTTTTTTGTTTTGTGATTTTGTAATCATTTAGCACCTTAGTTTCACGATCGTGTATTAAAACATTTTGTTATAGAAGTATATACAAATCAAATATATAGAGAGCTAGCAACAGAATAAATTGAAAAGTATACATAATCTTATCCATGGACAAAAATTATAGGAGTTTTTGGTTCACAGATAAAGCTCAATGTTTGAAATCAATGTTAAAAATTGCAAATTGTAAAATAAAGTTTATATACTTACATATTTTTCTCCTAAAGTTGGAGACATTTTATAAGGTTATACTATGCGAAGATTATAAGGCAAACTCAATACTAGGTAGATGGGCATTAAAGCCTGTTGTTCATATGTGTGTTTATGTGTAAGGGTGTGTATTTTTAATTTACTATAAAATGCAGTAAAATGCATACTTAAGTTCTTCTACATACTAATAAAAATTATATTGAGTATCACATTTGACCCAGCTAGTAATTGTGTAATTAAAAATTTATTTTTCATCTCTATTACTTTTTCTATCTAATATTAATTTAAATTAATAAAAAATATAGACTTCAAGTTACATTTTATGTGTAATTTATATCAAAGGTGCACAGGAGTGGAGTTATGTATGCCTAGTAGATGCTACAAGTCGTAAGACTAACAGTTCACTTAATTTTTACTAATGCCATAAAAAAAGGAAGGGAAAGGAAAGGAAAAGAAATGAAAGAGAGTTGCAGGGAAGGGAGTTTACACTTTAAGCTAAGTGATTGTTTGACTTGTTGGTACCTAAATAATTAGCTTCTTAAGAAATAGAACTCATGACTAAAGTGAAATTGTTTGAAAACATTTACAATTAACAGCATGCAAAGTATAAAAATTTAACTTTCAATATGAAAGCAAAAAAAAAAAAAAAGCCTGTGTGAAAATGTGCTTTTTAAATAAAGTTAAGTAAAATGACAAGAAAATGCATTGCAAGATTACATATACATTGCCTACACAGATTTATAGGCATGTTAAGCTTATGCAGAAGAGGAAGAATATATACATTCATAAGAAGGTCATATTATTTAGGTATATTACAGGAAGATTTATCTTGAATATTATTTAAAAATATGTTAAAATATTTTTTATTTCATTAATTCTTATCTTTATATTCACACAGATTCTTAACAGTACATGTCTATTATAAAGTAGAAATATTAACTTCTCTAAACATTAACTATTTTCCTCATGTGAAATGTGTACTGACCTGTCCCCCTTGAAGAAATAGGTTTTCCCAACGTCTTCCCACCAAATGGCTGAATCAATACCATGCGGGGGAATTCCACTTCCAAGAGTAATCAAGTCATGAGGATAACCAGGTTGAAGAGTTGTATCCTTAAACACCCAGTATTTGTTACCTGTATGAAATAAGTGCAAATGCAGAATACAATAATTTAATATCAGAAATTAGACTATATCTATTAATACAGTGAATTTAAAGTTATTTTACATGAAATCCACAAAATAAGTAGTAATCACATTTGGAATACAGATGTTATTATTAGAAAATTATCTTCAAAAGTGGATAAAATGAGTAACTATTTAATAATATAATTAGAATTTGTGAATTAATTTAAGAAATAAAAAAGATCTACAACTTGCCATAATACAACAATTCTGAATCAAGAATCAGGATTTTTCCTCTAGGAATTAGACATGTTATTTTTATTTAAGGCTAAATCATTACTGTGTTTTGTGCATCCTGTATATGCTCAGGTTGCTTTATTGTTATAACCTCTACTCTGTTGAAACACATCCTCTAAGCTTGTCCTCTCCAATTACAAACATTCACAAGTTCCTTTAATCTTAGAAAGTCATCCTCCTTTGACCCTATGCCCTTTTTTAACTGTTATACTATCCCTCTCTTTAATTAGAGTGATAACCTAGGGGAGGAGAATTTTAACCCTAACCTTACTTGGAATTGCTAGAGCATGGTGATATTAAGAAGACAAACTTTAGTCAGTTTTATTGCTGTTTTGAAATTACAAGACACTTCCTCATGTCCTATACCTCTGGCAGACTGTGCCTACCACTCCCCTCTTTGGTATGCCTCTCAAGTAGTCTATAACCATTCCTCACTCCACTGAAAATTGATTTAACACCTACTTTCCACTGGAAACTTTTGTTCTAGAGTCAGCAATGTCTTTCAAGGAAATAATTCTCTACCCAGTTGACACAATTGCTCACTTAAATCACTTCTCTCTCTAAGCTGCTAGAAAACCATTTTGGGGGGTGGGTTGTCTTTTTTCTCCAGCTGCTCCATCCTGGGCTTCCCCCCCCCCTCAGTTCTTAAATGTTGACATTTCCTAGGGCTTTGTTCTCTGACCTCCTCTCTTCTTATTCTAAATCAGGAGGTAGGAGGTAAGGGTAGGGGTCCCAAACTTAAATACTTACAAGGGCCAGGTAGGAGTGGAGGGAGTGGGCTGTTCAAATATTGAGACACTTCCATGAAAGTCAGCAAATATACTTTGCCCTAAATGTCTATCTCCCCTCAAGCCCACACCCCAAGTCTTCTTCCCCTGGTCCTTATGGATCTTTCTGCATTTAGTATCTCTTATCACTAACTCCTTCTGGGGTTAGCATCTGGTGAAGTAAAACAGTTAATATCTATTAATATCTGACAAAGTATCCTATGTTCTTTCTAATAGATATAAGCCTTACTTGTTAGAATATTTCATTACTACCCCTAGATGAGGACTATGATAGCCTGTAGCATTCATGTTACACCTTAAGGAAATAAAAAAAAATTAAAAACATGTTCCTGCTTAAAACAACACAACACAAAGCAAAAGTATCATGTTTTCAGGCTAAATTTAGTTAGGTGTCTCTAGTTTGTAACAGGAGTAATCTTATTTACTTCAAGAGCTTCTACTACCATTTGATATCATTTTTAAAAAACAATATTTATTAAGTACCTTCAGTGTCCCAATTATCATGTTAGGTACTAAGGATACTAAAGAGAACAAGACAGACCTGTTCACTATACTGACCATCCTGCATTCTAATGGATTGGGCAGATGAAAACCACATATACAGAAATATAATTGTAGTAGTTGAAAAACTACTGAATGCTACAAAGGAAATACATCAGGGGCTGAGAAAAAAGAAATCCCAAGGGGAAAATTCCTTTAAGTAAGGCGATCAGGAAAGCCTCTCTGAAGAAATAACACTTAAACCAAAATTTAAAGAGAGAGAAGAATATCTATGCACTGAATGTCAGGAACAGTATCCCAAGCAAAAGAGTTTGGTATGATTAAAAATGAAAAGATCAGTGGAGTATAATGAACAAGAAGAGAGTGGTACTGCAAACGTGTATGGTAGGTTTCAGTCTTATTTTGAGTGACTGGGAAACCATCAAAGAGAAAATTAATGGAGGGGTGTGATCTGTTTTTTATTTTCAAAACATGACTTTTGTCTTTTGTGGAAAATGGACTATAAAGAGAAGAATGGAAATGAGAAGATCCATCGATGGTCTTTTGCAAGAATTAATTGAATCATTCATCGACAACTTAGTACACTTACTAGAAAGTATTCTAGGCACTGGAGATGTAGCAGTGAATAAGAAAGGCAACATCTTTGCCTCTTGGAGCTTAAATTCTAGGGAAGGGGCATGGGAAAACGGACTTTAAACAAGAAAACAAAGGTAATTTCAGAGAGAAAAGTATTTTAAAGATACATAAAAAAATACATTAATGTAAAAGTGATGGGATTGGGTGGGTGGGGGGGTTGCTTGTACTGGACACAGGAAAGATCCCTTTATTCAGATGACATGTGAGTTGTAACTTACATAATTCAAAAAAGCCAGCACAGTGAATATAGTTTGAAGGGGTAGAAACACCAAGGACAAATGCCCTAATGGGAAGAACCTTGTTAGAGAGCTAGACCACAATGTTTGTAGGAATGTGCTAAGGACAGAGGTAAGGATCATGTGATCTTTGTCAAAATCTAAACTTTATTCTAAGTGTAATAGGAAGCCACTGAATAGTTAAAAAGTTCTTTGCTAATAGCCTGTAACAAGGTGACTGCAATAGTCATGGAAGAAAGAAAATGGAGTCATGACACATTTTGGAGATGGAATTGATAGACATTGCTTTTGGGCTGGCTGTGGGGAATTAAAAAAAGATAGTATCAAGGATAATCTTCAAGTTCTGACTTTTCTAAACAAGAGAATAATAATGATATAAAATAAGCCAAAGAAGACTGGGGTGTATGGGCTATAAGGGATTCAAACTGAAAGTTTGAGATGTGAAGTAAGCAACCGGATATGTGAGTTTGAAGATAATAATTTGTAAGTCACAAGCATAAATATGGTATTTATTAATTTAGGATTTGAAGAAATCCAGTGAAGAATATATAGAAAAGATGAAGAGGAACCAAAACTGGGCTTCTAGAAATATATGGCCCTCAAAGAGATCACAAGGGAAGAGGGAAGAGTAGGCAAATGCAAAGGATGTAGAAGAGGCAGGGAGGAAGACTAAAGTAAAAGAAAACCTTAGAAGCCAAAGAAGAGAGTGGTCATAAATGGCTATCTCTAATCCAAATAGCTCTTGAGAGCCAAACAGTATATATAGCTACCTACTGGGATTTTCTAAAAAGTTGACCCATAAGTTCAAATTTGAACTCATCAAAGGACTGTTCTTCCTGTTTTCCCTATTTGGGTAGATGGCCTCCTAATTACTCAATGCATCACATCTGAAACCTCCCTGTTTATTATGTTTCATATCTGATGCATCATTACATTCAGCTGCTTTGATTTCTAAACTTTTCCTTAAACCTCTCCCCTGCAGTTCATTCTTATTGCCACTGATATAGGTAAACTTTTCAATTATCCCTTCTAAAGGTAATTGTTTTTTTCACAGGCTCTGAAGTAGGTCCCACTATTCTCCCTATCTTCTCTATATATTACCATCCAAGGCTAGATCCAGTCAAAATTCTGCAAAGTTATGGATCATAGTTTAGGCAGATGAGCAGAGATGAGCAGAGCCATTCATTTTTCTTTCTTGGGACTGTGACCCAGGAAATACTGAGAGACATTCCACTCAGCAGAAGGAAATGCCTATTCATTATATAGTATGAGGCTTGAAGAGCCATGATGGCCGTAGGCAAGCGTGCATTATGAGGATATATAAATTGAGTAACCAGAGAAAGGAATTGAAAGAGAAAAGAGAATGGAGTAGATGCAAAGAGCAAAGCTACAAACAGGGAGAGACCAGGAGGCTTATTAGAGAAATGGCAAGTGTAGCCAGTTCTTGAATGACTTCCTGTTACACACCCACCCCTAAACTCAATTAATCTGGTTGGGTTTATTTTTCTTTTAACTGAGTAATTATTGTTCAGTTTTAATTTTTGGCCATCCAAAAATCACACAAGGTATTAGATATGCTTGAGTCCCAAGTCTGTTAGTCAAAGTCCTGGCTTTTAGCCAGGGCACCATACTGTCTTCCATCCATGTGCCTTAAGAGCAACACTTTTGTTTTCTAGCTTGTATTATTTCAATAACTTCCTTTCTTATCTCCTTGCCTTCAGTCCCACTTTTATCTGTCTTCCACAAGGTCATTAAAGTGATCTCTCTAAAATGCATACCTGATTTTATCTCTCTTTTGTTTAAAATTTTCAGTGGTTTACCATTGCATTCGGCATAAAACACAAACTCATCTATATGTCATCTCAAGGTTCTTCTCATATGAGTCTCTTATTTCATCTACATTTCATTTATTTCCATTTCTGGAAAATGGGTATGACTTTTTCAAAACTTAGCTTAACATCATTTCTCTGGAAAGCAGTTCCTATCTGAATAAGTGGGCCTCTTACATTGACAGAGTATGTAGTCTTCCCCTTTACCATATTACTTAGTATACTTTTAGTACATATAATTTGTGCTTTAATGGATCACAAGCCTGCCACCCGCTGTAGGCTGTGAGCAACTTGAGGGACAAACACTGTGTCTGACACCATTATATATAATGCTTGGAAAGTAGTAGGTGCTTAATAAATGGTTATTAATTCAAAGATATATGTTTAATTTTACATGAATAACCAAATATAAGATCAAAACAAAAATGAAAAGGCTACATAAATAACATTGTGGGCCTTACTCTTGAATCTTGTTAGTAAAGCAGAAAAAAAAAAAAAATGAGTTTTCTAACCATTAACAAGTCAGAGCAAATAAAAAGGCATGTCCCAGTATTGTGTTGGAGGGCCATTTAAGTAATTATATTTAAGTGCGTGTTGGGAAATACTATCATAAAAATATACCCCTATCCTGAGCCATTGTTTAATCTGAATATTTTATAAAGAAAAAAATACCCCAAGGGCCCAGATCACTTCCTTGCCAGAGTTAGTGAGACGGAAAATCCAG